TTAGCTGTACAGTACAAGAACTGTCTGGCAAAGACACTTCCTTAGAAAAAGATATGCCATCTATTCTAGTTCTACAACTAGCATCTAAAATGCAGTGGTGTTAATTCCAGGTGAGATTTCATGTGGAGGAAATTCCATAGGTGGAATAAAAACTTGGTTATGAAAATGCTTTGTACTATGTAGGATCATAGATTGAAACCTAACTATAATGGGAGCGTGTATTCTTGTGTCAAAATAGATCCTGTTTTTCATATGGGAGGATAGACAACCTGATGCTCTTGAGATGAAAAACAATTTCATTTTCCTGTCCTGTAGAAACATTGGTTTGATGATGATGATGATGATGATGATGGTGATGATGATGATGATAATAATAATAATAATAATAATAATAATAATAATAATAATAATAATAATCTGTCAACAATACTGAATAACTCAGGACATGGCTATCAAATATCAAAAACATCTACCAGACTATCCCATCTCCTTTACATGGATGACCTGAAGCTGTATGGAAAAACATCATCTGAAATAGAATCGCTGCTCAACACTGTCCGTATATATAGCCAAGATATTGTTATGGAGTTTGGCTTGGACAAATGTGCCACACTTACTATCAAACAAGGAAAAATAATGAAAACTGAAGGAATCAAGATGCCCCACGAAAATAACATTAAGAGTCTGGATGAGGAAGAGTACTACAAATACTTGGGTATCCTTCAAGCTGACAACATCAAGCACACTGAAGTCAAGAAAAAGATTAGAGGTGAATACATCAAGAGAGTGAAGAAGATCTTAAAATCCAAACTCAATGGAGGAAATACCATAAAGGCAATCAACACCTGGGCAATCCCAGTCATTAGGTACACAGCTGGAATAGTGGACTGGACTCAAGCAGAACTAAAAGCAATGGATAGGCAGACCAGAAAAATAATGACAATGAATCATGCCCTTCATCCACGCAGTGACATTGATAGACTTTATCTACCAAGGCAAATAGGTGGGCGTGGAATGCTACAAGTACATCAGATGGTTGAAGAAGAAAAAATGGCTTTGGAAGAATATCTGAAGAACAATGATGAAGATGCACTGAAATTAGTATATCAGGAAGGCTTACTGACTACTGGAGAGACCAAACTGGCCTACAAGAAAGACCAAATGAAGAACAGAATAGAGGCATGGGAAGACAAAGCACTACATGGCCAATACATGAAAAAAATAGCTGGGAAAGCAGATAATAATAAAACCTGGCAATGGCTAAGAGCAGGAAAATTGAAGAAAGAGACCGAGGGACTAATTCTGGCTGCACAAGACCAAGCCTTAAGGACAAATGCATACAAAGTCAAAATTGAGAAGACAGCAACAGACAGTAAGTGCCGCCTATGCAAAGAAGCTGAAGAAACAGTGGACCACTTGGTAAGCTGTTGCAAGAAGATCGCACAGACTGACTACAAGCAGCGGCATGACAAAGTAGCAACAATGGTGCATTGGAAGATCTGCAAAAAATATCATTTGCCTGTAAGCAAAAACTGGTGGGATCATAAAATAGAGAAAGTCATAGAAAATGATAAAATTAAACTGCTCTGGGACTTCAGAATTCAAACAGACAAGCACCTGCAACATAACACCCCAGACTTAACAATTGTCGATAAGAAAAACAAAAAAGTCTGGATAATGGATGTGGCAGTGCCTGGAGACAGCAGAATAGAAGAGAAAGAGCTGGAGAAGATAACAAAATACAAAGACCTACAAATAGAAGAGAAAGACTGTGGCAAAAGCAAGCAAGGGTAGTACCAATAGTGATAGGTTCCTTGGGTGCAATCCCGAAACAACTGGAGCACCACTTGAACACTATTGGCATTGACAAATTTGCCATTAGTCAATTGCAAAAGGCAGCCTTACTAGGAACTGCTTCCATCCTGCGACGATACCTGTAATACCATAAAACATCCACATCTGCCTATTCCAGGTCCTGGGTAAGGACTCGATAGGTAGACAAAATGCCAAATTCAGTCTGAGCATCTGGCTGACTGTGCGATGATCCATAATAATAATAATAATAGTAATAATAATAATAATAATAATAATAATAATAATAATAATAATAATAATAATAATAATGTTGGGAGGGACCTTGGAGGTCATCTAGTCCAACCCCCTGCAGGAAACCCTATTTTTAAGTGTTTAAAAATACTTTATATTGATTTCACCAGTCTGTTAATGATAATATATATTCATTCTCTACTCCTAAAAATTCATTTTAAAACAAAAATGATTACAATCAAAATTAATAATAAAAAGAATCCATTACTGATATAATAATAAGAGAAATTCTTTTGGGAATTCCATCTATGAGCTGCTTACATAATAATGTTTTTAAAATTTGGAAAATATGTATGCATTACCTCTATTACATATATATTTGGATATAAAGAAATAGTTTGTATTACATGCAATAGTCTTAGCAGCAGGCACACTATCTCACGCCCACTCATGCAATGAAGGAGGCTTACTCACTCACTAGAACAATTGACAAAGGCAAGTGGAAGAAGATGACATAGGTTATTTTAGATTATTTTTTTAACTTGAGGGAAAGAGTTATATAATAAAAGGGATGGCTGAAAGAATGAACTGCAGACAGTAGTGCAACTAATATGTACTATACTACAAGTCAAATAAATTGAGTTAAGAAAAAAAATAGAATTTGGGGAAATGTAGAGGATCACACAAACACATTCAAACAGAAAAACAAAGAGCTACAATCTGTCACTCCTCCCTCAATAAATTTGGCACGATGTTGACAAATTGAAAAAATGAAGAGAATGTAGCAGGGTTTACCTAAGTGGTATTGGTTGGGAAGTATTGAGAAATGTTAAAGTCATTGGTTACCATGCATGTTAATATCACGTTAAGCATCGCAAGACTCAACTTACCTCTCTTAGTTTTGTCATACATGGAGTGCAAGCTGCAAATGTTTGAGAATCTATGGAGCCAAAAAATTCACCAAATCTCCACATTAGTTTGGAAATTAATCAGAAATTAAAAGTACTTGATTTGATTGAGTAGAGTGAATCAGTTCAGAAATTCACTTCAGATATTGGATGTTGGAATCCTCTAATCAAATCATTCCTTCAAAGCTTTGCACACTCCTAATGAAAATTATAGGTGCTTAATAAATTCAGTATCACTTAATAACATTTTTTTCAACTGCTTCATATTTAAGTAAAAGTGATATGATGTAATAGGGTCATATGGAACTCAGGGAAATATTTTTTGCCATTCCAAAAAGATCTAATAATAGTACCATTGACAATCCCACAAAGTAACATTATGATTTATTACTTCCAAAAAGGATAGTAGATACAAAGGAGTAGCAGAGAATTTCATTACAAGACAAAGAACTATATAGATCCAGTGGTGGGATTCAAATATGTGAACAACCGGTTCTCTGTGTGGATGCCGCTTCCAGAAATCCTTTCTGGGCCTGGGCAACAAAAAATTAGCTACTGGTTCTGCTGAAGTGGTGCGAACTGGCTGAATCCCACCACTGTATAGATCCTACATCATATCCAACACTAAGGCCATAGGTGATTCTTCATCAATCAACAAATTAGAAATGCCCAACATTACTAAATTCATTACTTACATGAACATTTATATCACTTCACATACAAAAAAACCAATTCTAGTACTTTAGCTTAAAATATAAACAAGGTACAATAATAAAGTGTCACAAAATGAATAATACAACTATATCATAAGAACTGATATCTCCTCAGTCACATATTCAGCCTTTTCAAAAGCCCCCCAGAAGATTTAATCTTTAATCCAAAATTCTAATAGAGCTGAGGCCATCTCTATTTCCAGGGACAAGTTTTTCAGAGGCAGATGTGACAACTGAGTAGATATCTTCAGAATCTCATCCATCAGCATTCCCTAGGAAGTGACCCCTATAACGTTTCATCTCTCTGCTTTCACTAGAGAAGTAGATACCACATGGGACAGGTAGTCTTATTGATAGGTTGGTTCAACAGTTCAAGTAGAGTTATCTATGAAGCAAACTGAAGAGAGAGAAGGTAGCCTAAAGGATTCATGTGCTAGAATACAAATCCTATAATTCCCAGCATTTTGGGCTAATGTCTGAGATGTGTTAGAAAAAGCTACTTTAAACTGAGCATTGGATATTGTCTTTGCATCAAGAACATAAAGCTACTTACTCTACAATGTACAATACTACAAAGACATGCAATAATATAGATCTGCTTTGCCTTGATCTAAGATGTGAGATGTGTGACTTATTATTTCATCAAATCAATGAT